GGGAGTTCTCATCATCATTGAAAATGTTAAAAGCCTAGACCTGCTGATCTTCCCACATGCCACCTGGGCCATGGTGGCACATCCTGCATCTTATGGCCCAAGAGGGTAGGCCAGGAATGCTGGCCCCATCCAACCAATAGTCCTCCCTCCCTGACTCTGGATCAGAGGACTCACCATCCTGATCCCTATTGACTTAAGCATCTCTGCCCTATGACTTTTTCTTCTTCTTCCCACCTGTCTTCTTTTTCTGCTTCCTCTGTGTGTCAGTGGAAGAGGAAGCATCAGAGTTGTAACTGGTTATGGAACTGTGGCTAGATAAATTGCTGTGGTGGAGCAAGCTCTCTGATGACCCTCCCATGACAGCTGGTCGTGATCCTTTGTCTGGGCGGAAGTGGCAGATGTCCCTGGTTAGATGGATGCAGGAGAAGACAGGGCTCTCAGGAGGCCCACCTGCTCAACCAAGATGGATAGGGTGCAAGTCAGGTCCAGCAGCATCACCTTGCCCACAGGAAGCACTGCTGGTGTAGCCTGAACATCACCTCAGTGGGTGCCTCAGACACAAGGCATTTCTTTTTACTACAGGGGCCAGGGCAGCCCACAATTTCCTAGGCTGTCTGGTCTGGTCCCTGTTGATGGCCTTGAAGCCTCCTTTTTGCTGGGCTTAGGAGGTATGGCCCATCCCAATGGAGGACCGAATGCAGGCCACTTCCATTTTGCCCTCAGCCCCATGGGTCTGGAAGATGGTGTGGCAACCTCCTAGACAAAACTGGGGAGGGGTATGTGGATTGGCGAGTCCTGCTAAGCAGCCCTCCTAAGCCTGGGACCTCTTGCCTCCCAAAGCCTGATACACTGCATGTAGTCCTCCCACTTCCAGAAGCCCAGGCCCAGCCTAGGCTGGGGCTCTCCATTCCAAAAGGCCTGCAACTGGCAGACCACCACTACCACTGCCACATCCTTTTCTCTTGAATCTCTGAGCTTCACCTTGATGTTGCCAGCTCAAAGATCCAAGCTGGAATGGCAACAATCCCCGGCCACATGGACTTAAATATGATCTTGCCTGTCCATCACGGGGGGAGGGGGGAGCAAGAAGTTCCACTCATCTCTGCTAATGGGCCAAAAGTCTCACCCCATCCAGTGGCTAGACCAATGGGGACCACTTCTTTCTCCCAGTGTATCCTGGGATTTGAAGTCCCCAGCTGGAGCCAGAAGTCTCACCCCTAAGTCCCCCGCTTGCCAATTGAGGGCTGCAAAAACTTCCTCTGGTGCCTTCTGGAAGCAGCTGGGGCTGGGAGATGGGCAGGATGTCCAGAGCATCCCAACACCCCAAATTGGCTAGTCTGGTGAGTTGGGTGGCCTCAAATATGGTTGCAAAGAATACTAAAAAGTCATATGTGGTTAAAACCTGAATGTTCCTCTTGGGGCTCATGGATAATCAATTTGAAAGAAACAATGGTAGACTACTTTCATACATGCTCACAGCAACAAGACTACTATATGCTATATATAGTGTAACATATTACCTCTAAGAGAAGATTTTTTTATTTTTTTATTTTATTAAATTTAAAATTACAAAAGATGAGAAATCATAAAGTACAATTTGCAGAAATAAATTGCAATTATAAAATACATTAAAGAGTTTCCTTTTCTCTGCTTTTTACTTTCCCAGATATGTAAAAATATAATACTTCTATGAAATTACATGGTTTTTGGAACATAAAAAGAGAAGAATTTTTTTAAGGTGAATAAATTAGTAGAGATGGGTAGATTGTTTACTTTCATTAGAGAAATGTCATACCTTTCTAAAAAGGTGCCCGTTTTGAAAGATTAGAACACTTAATTGACATTTTGAGGAAAAAATGAAAGTGATGAGATTATTATTATTGGTTTTGATTATTTGTTTTGAGTTAAAATTATAGGTGAATTGTAACATCTCACATTCTAAGGTGGTAGGTGGAAATTTAGAAGTGCAGAAAAGATAGTTGGAAGTCATATGTTTTTTAGTACAGTTGTAGTTTAGTTAGCAGTGTATGCACTGATTTGTTTTAATTTGTTTATGTTTGTTTAATATATGTGCTTTAGTGTGATAGATATAATCTTTTTAGCAAATTTAGAATTTCAGTAAAAATGTTTTTTGAAAAGTATCTTGCTCTTTAGCCTAAAAAATCTGATGAAGATCTTTGTGTTTCTACTAACTGTACTTAAAAAAAAAAACTTTGTCCCAGTCCTCTCAATTGTAATTATTCTGTTTTTAAAACTATAATAGGTGACAAGCCTACTGCTATCTCATCTTTCATCAGAAATGTCACAGATACTATTGGGATGCCCAGGTCTAGCTAGAACATTGCCTGCTTGCATAATGGAAACACAATTCTTTTGAGATGAAATGTGCTGTTTTATTATCACCCAACTAATCCATTTGGAAATCTGCCACCATCACCATGGTGATGACAGTGGCATTGTTCCTGAAATTCCCTCCCCCTTCCTTAATAAAGGACAATCATTTGGCAAAAAGAGAGAGAGAGAGAGAGAGAGAGAGAGAGAAAGTATTCATCTGCAAAGTTCTGTGCCATTAAACTTCTCCCATATATAGGAAATATCTTATCTAGCAGAATCACCTGTGTTAAAAGGTGATTCAATCTTCAGTGCAATCCTATATGAGTCTACTCAGACACACAGTTCCCAGTGAAAGCTAGACACAATGCAATTTTAGCAGTATGATTCACTTGAGACCTGCAGTTTAGGGAGGGATACTTTGAATTCTCAACCGGAGAATTCTCTAGTGTCTCACCAAACTACAGATCCCAATATCTCATAATATGGAAGCATGTCAGTTAGTTAAAATGGAATTATAGCTCTATAACTGAGCAGAGTGAAAGGGATCCAGGCCCCCTTTCTAATTGATATATATATATATAAATATTGGTCTAGTGTGCATAGGCTCTAGTCTACAGTATATCTACACGAGACAATTATAGTACTTTACTTAACTTACATGTTAACCACTATCATTCCTATCTATGCAATCCTGCATTGTCTCATTTCAAGAGGTACTTAGAATTCAGAACCAGAGAGTTCTGATGCTTTGGTTCAAAAGAGTGCACTAGAGAATTCTTACTACCCTAACAAACCCAGGATTCTGAAGGATGCAGCCCTGATGATTAAAGTGCTACCAAAGTGCTATAACTGCATTGTGATGTTCTGCACCTTTAAAAATAAAATTAGAGACTTTGAGAATGTTTTGGATGACAGCTTCCATAATTCTGTATATTTGGCCATTCTGTCTCAGGCTTCTGGACACTGGCATTCAAAACATGTGTGTGTAGTGTACCTTCAAGTTGTTGCCAACTTATGGGAACCCTGAGGCAAAACTATCATGGGATTTTCTTGCAAGATTTGTTCAGAGGAGGTTTGCCATTGTCTTCCCCTGAGGCTGAGAGAGTGTAACTTGTCCAAGGTCACTCAGTGGGTTTCATAGCCTAACAGGGAGTTGAACCCTGGTCTCTAGAGTTGAAGTCCAACAGTCAAACCACTATGCCACACTGGCTCACATTCAAAACATATGGAAGGCCAAAAAGATAGACTTCTATACACATCCAGTGTAGCATAAAATAAAATATAAATCCTATTGGCTTCAGAATGTGTGTCCTAGTTTTGAATAAACTGTTGGAGTCTGACCTATAAAACTCAGTATGCTCACACCTGTGATCTAAAGGTGATTACAACCCACCAGCCTGGCCTGGCAGATGCTTGATACCTACTCCTATTTTTATATATCCCAGGCATGTGATTAAGCAGTAGTAAAATGGAACCAGGCCAGCACCCACTGATTTTAATTGTAGATGGTGCTCTCTTCCTCCTTTTTGGTGTGTCATGACAAGTTGCTCTCAGCTGAATGTAAACACTCAGCTTTGTACTGGTTTTCATGTTTTGATTCCATGAGAACAATTCTTTCTTGTAAAGAATTGATCCTCACTGAACTATTTAGCTTCCCTTGAAATTCAAGAGATTATTTCCCCTGAGCAGAAACCTCCACTTTGACTTTTAAGTTTGCATAAGCCAATTTGGTGAATGGAAAGGATCTCTTGTAAGACCTCCCATTAGTCAGTCAGAAACAATTTTCTCTTCCCTTAAAATTCATCAGATGTTTTCTGTAAGTGCAGCTGCATCTACACTTCAGAGTTAATGTAGTTTGACACTGTTTTAATGAATTCTAGGATTTGTAGTTTTGTGTAATATTGAGCTTTTTCTGTCAGAGAGTTCTGATGACACAACAAACTGCAAATCCAGGATTCCATGGTATGGAGCCATGACAGATAATGCAGTGTCACTGCATTAATTCTGCAGTGTGACAGCAGCTTGGATCCGCAAAACTGGATCCTCAAAACTGAAATATTCACTTTGGACTAGGGATGGGAATAATGTGGTCCATGGAATATTGTTAGACTAAGGAAAGAAAACTGGGAGCTGCAGTCCAACAATATCTGGAGGGCCACAAAATTTCCGCACCTGCTCTAGACAAAACAAATGGGAACTGTGACCAAACATTGCAGCATGCAGTTTGTCTTGTTAAGTCAACTAGTCAAAAGGGAGGGTTGCAGACTGCCAGAAATAGTGCAAATTGAGTCCACTTTTATAGTTAGGGTTAGTGCTAGGGAATCATGGGAATTGTTTTTTTTTTTCTGAGACATTGAGCCTTCTCTGTCAGAGAGCTCTGGTGCCACAATAAAATACAGTTCCCATGATTCCCTAGCCCTAACCCTAACCCTAAAAGTGGACTCAATTTGCACTATTTCTGGCAGTCTGCAACCCGCCAAGGATAGTTAAGAGGCTACTGTTAGAACAGAATTCAGAGAAATAGAATGGTTCCAAATCAGCAAGGGAGTCAGGCAAGATTGCATTCTGTCATCCTATTTGTTCAACCTGTGTGCAGAAACTATTATGAGAAAATCAGGTTTAGACTCAGGAGAAGTAGGAATGAAGATAGGCAGAAGGAACATCAACAATCTAAGATCTATGGATGACACCCTACTACCGGTATTTATGGAAAACATCACAGACTTGGACACAATTACTAAGCAAGGTCAAAGATGAAGGTTCAAAGGTAGGCTTTATGCTGAACTTAAAAAAATAAAACAAAAATAATGACCACAGAAGAAATGCATAAATTCAACCTAGACAATGAGGAAATTAAAATAGTTAAAGAATTCCAATACTAAGGACCAAATATTGATCAGAATAGTGACTGCAGTCAAGAAATTAGAAGAGTAGGAAAGGGAAGGGTGGCTATTAAACAACTAGACAAAATCCTATAGAATAATGTTATACAACTGAGCACTAAAATCAAAATCATCCAAGCCATTGAATTCCCCATCACCATGTGCAGATATGTGAGCTGGACAGTGAAGAAAGTGCGTAGGAATAAAATCAATTCATTGAGATGTGGTGCTGAAGAAGAGTGCTGAGGATACCATGGATAGCTAAAAAGACAAACAAATGGGTTGTTAAATAGATGAAGACTGAAATCTCCTTAAAAGCCAAGATGATCACATTGAGATGACACATCTTGACAAGGCACAACTCATTAGAAAATACAATAATGTTAGGGAAAGTAGAGGGTAGTAGAAAGAGGGGAAGACCACACACCAGATGGATAAACTCAATCAGGGAACTCATGGAACTGAATCTGCAGGACCTAAGAAGAGCTGTAGAGGATAAGGGGTCTTGGAGATATCTCATCTACATGGCTGTGTCAAGTCAACTCGAGGGCAGTTAACAACAACAACAAAGTCAACGAGACCATACACTTTCCCAGGATTGTTATTGCTGTTGCGTGCCTTCAATTGTTTCTGACCTATGGTGACCCTAAGGTGCACCTATCATAGGGTACTCTCATTCTATTTCTTTTTATGTGAAAACATCCCAGGCAAGTCCTGTAACCTATTTAAAAGGTAAGTTGCTGCTTCCAGAGGCTTCTAGGAGAAGCAGTTTATGATTATTATCTGGGAGAGAGTGAAGGTGAACTAGAGAACACCAAGGGGGTTCAGAAATAACTTTGGGAACCAGAGGTATTACAATAATATGTGTTTTGCACTTTAAATTTAATCCTCAGCTATGCTTATGTAAGGACTGTTATTTCTTTGTACTTCTACTGAATGCTGCCAAGGGGATTTATCCTGAGTCCTGTTATTTCAAATGAGAGAAGACCCATTGAATCAGTGAGTCTTTGCTGCACGATAATTTAACATTTAACAATTGACTCAATGAGCCTAATAAGGATGGCACTGACTAATAGGATATAGGCTTCCATGTATTTCACTCCACTTTAATTTCTGGAGAGCTAAGGAAAATGCAGTCTATAGGCTATGTACAACACCAAACTCTTTTTAGTGGTCCCCATAGTGCCCTGGGTAGCTTTCATACTAAGAAAAGATGTTGCAAATGCAATCAGAGAATACAATGCAAAGTCAGAATTATCTCAATAATTCTGGGAATTATTGAGATAATCGGGAAACCTATGAATGTCGCCATAATTCAAGTATATGCACCAATCACTGAGACAGAACAAGAAGAAATTGATAGATTTTATGAAGGAGTACAGGAAGAAATTGACAACAAATCAACACAGAATGTCAAGCTGATCATTGGAGATTGGAATGCAAAGTTTGGAAGTAAAGAAGAATAAAAAAGGGTAGGCAGATTTGGACTAGACAAAAGGAATGAAGCAGGTGAGTGCCTGATAGATCTCTGTGAAGCCAACAACCTATTCATTGCAAAGACATTTTTCATACAGCCAGGGAAAAGGTTATACACATGGACATCACCAGACGGCAAACACAAAAACCAAATAGATTACAAGTAAAAGATGATGAAGCTCGATACTGGTGGCCAAGACTAGACCAGGTGTTGATTGTGGCATAGATCATGAACTACTCATTTAAAAAATAAAAGTAAAACTCTAGAAAAGAACAAAATCAGTCATCATACTAAATACAATTTAAACAACGTTTCCACAGAATTCATTGACAATATAAGGAACAGATTTGCAATACTAAGTTTAGTAGATCTTGAACTGGAAGAGCTTTGGTATGAAGCCAGGGACATAATAAAAGATGAATGCATAAAG